GCTCGATATCAAGCTTTTCAGGGTTATAGTTTCTGCAACTTCTGCTTGAAGTTTTATAGCTCTAACCACTAACCCACGGGAGAGCTTCAACATGATTGAAAATGAATAATTGTTTCAAATGAAAGTTTCAAGTAAAAATGAATGTCACTACTGCTTGTCATCAAACTTTTTATGGTTATCGTTTCTGCAACATCTGCTTGAAGTTCCACAGCTCTAACCACTAATCCATGGGCGAACTTTAACATGATTGAAAATGAATAATTGCCGCTGCAAACATTAATCCTTTCTAGCCAATCGGAAATCATATTAAGACTTTCATTAGGATAAATAGCGATCCAATAACAGCCAATTGCCATTGATCTAAACTCCTTTTACATAGCAATAGATTTATTTTATTTCTATTATATATGTGACAAGAGAGATATATATGAACTTATTGAAGTCTCTGTCTGGAACCAAGTACGCTAGATACTTTTTAAACTAACATAACAAGCACAAACGATATCCGTATTGACTTTGAAGAACAAAATGATTTTCCACACGGTACCAAGTCATAAAATACATTAAACGGAAAATAGCGACTGAGGTAAAAGTAGTATATCTTGATAGCCATACATTGAATTATTTTTTTTTATTGAATAATGGTTCTTACAACTGTCCCCGAAACGCAGGTCAAACGTTCTTTCTACTAAATTTGACTATTAATGCAGAAGAAACAAATCAAATATTGGCAAGTGAAAAATAGAATTAAATCCTTATAGTAGCTCATATAGTGCAGTAAACGGAGAGGAAAAAAGGGTATGACCTCTGAATTTTTTTCACTGTGCTCCGATTTGCATGAAATTTTGGAATTGGGTTCATCTTACCCACATATTTGGGCTCCGCCACCACCCTCCGGAGAGGTTGCGACGTGATTAATATTAAAGGGTATAATTTAAAAGTAATAGGTCACAATTCAAGATTGTTGCTAGAAAACAAGGTTCATATTTACAAACGATCACTAAAGCTATTTGCACGTATAAAGTGAAGCAAAGAGGCTTTACCAATAAAACATGAATTTTCACCATCTAGAAGAAACAGTCTGAAGCATTAAGAATGCTGGTAATTCCTACAGATTCACAAGAACCCATCCGTTTCTGCACTCTTAGCAAGGCTTGATATAAGAAGGCTCAAGAAAAAAACAACAGATCACATAAAAAGAAGTTAAAGTATTTCACTGGAGATCTGTAACTTAATGATTTTTATATAGTTATTTTTCAACATTTTACTCTAACTCTTGAAATTCGAGCAATATGTCTGTCACCGTTAACAGTCGTGAGTATATTTTCAACGACACGAAAAATAATAGTTAAAATAGCATATGGGTTATAAATTTCAGATAAACTTTTAAATTCCATCACATGACATGATGGAACACATAATATCGCATGTTTGGATTAGATTCATTATTTTGGTAACACAAAATCAACCAATAATTGATTATGCAACAGAACTCGTAAAAAATCATGAAAATAATGCAAAGATTTTGAACTTCAGAAAAAATGAAAGTGTTTCCAGGCGCACGGACTAACCGATTTGAATAATTCGAATAGCATTCGATTTTTAATGATAAGGAAAAGTGCTGATTAGTTTTTGGTAAAAACAGGTCCAGCTGTTTTGAAGATACGGATGTAAATGTGAAAAAAATGGCAATTTTTGAAAGGACGAAGCATTCGATTTCAGTAATTCCAAAAAAATTTTGCTTGTATTGACGGTGTGATTGTTTTTTGGGGAAAGCATAAAAATGCTTTTTTTAATTTCAAAAGATAATGGTTTTTGTTTTCATAATAATACATTTGGAAATACTTAATATTCTTCAAATATTTTATTGCGGAATGGGAAGTTACAGCAATTTGCCTCAAGGCACAATGCCATACACCACTAGTAGTTTCTCATTATCAAATAGAAATTTATGGAAACGTATAGGGTAGAGTGGGACTAGTTGAGCATAGGAGTAAGTTGTTTGTTTATTTCGAGACCAAAAAGTAAGAAAGTCAATCTTCACGAAATTTCGTCTGGTTTAGTCAAATGTTATTTTTTTAATCAGGTAAATGTTAATCTTCCATATAATTGTCGTACTTTTAATATGCACAGAGATTCTGGGTATAATTTTCACGTTTTTTTTATAAACTCACTTTTATTTTTAAATTCCGAGTTGGGGTTAGTTGAGCATAGTTGCTACACTTGTTCTGTCACTAGGACAATTACCGTAAACTTCCAAAAATTAGTATTTTTAAGATTTAAGCTAAGTCTATGAGTAATAATATAAAAAAAAGATTTTAAACAAAAAGACTGAATATAATGGTAAAATTATTCCTAAGATTCGGTATTGTTTTGTTGATTATACTTTTTGTTAATTATTCAAAGAAAATTAGTATATGTTTTGTTCTCTCTGTCAATAAAGACTATAAATATAGAACTGATCATTAAACACTTATTTCATCACTAATTGAACCTACGGTTTTATTACACTTTCTTAGTGCTCAACTTGCACCACCTATGAGGTACATTGAGCATACTTGACTCTTTGCATTAAAACAGCTGTAGCTCTTAAAGTTTACTCATTACCAAAAAATACTAATGACACTTTTTTTAAGCGATAAACAACAAGTCTATCAAGCCGTATAAAAATATATCGAGACTTATCATTGAGGAGCTACATCCGTTCAAGTAAACATTTGCTCAACTAGCCCCGCCCTACCCTATTTATTTACAACTAAATATTTATATTAAAATTTGCATCTTTGAGCAAGCAAATTTTTAAAACTTTAAAAATAAATTTGTTACTAAAATTTTGTATCACTTATTAATGTCAAATTACTAATTGCACACCAAATAAATCAAAATATATTATTTAAACAAAATTTAAAATACCGAAATTATTATTTATAAAAAGTGAAACCATAAAATTCTATAATCCTTATATTTGACAATGTTGCAAAGTATAGTGCACAACAAATTTTGCAAAAACAAAGCAAATTATTCGAGATTTAACTAAATCATCCTGGAATCTCTGTGTGATAAACACATTTCTCTTCCAGAGTCACATTAAGCATAAACATTTGTATGCATATATATTACACTCGGCATAATACATAAAATACAAACGGCGCAAATGACAAGTAAACGACAATTTTTCAGCAAGCGAATTGTTCGCGCGCAGTAATTTGACGCGGACTCCCCGCCGAGTAGCCAACGATCGCTGCGTTTCCATCCTAACTTCTGTGTATATATTTTTTTTATTTTCGTGTGTGTACTGTTCGCTAATCAAGACCCTGGCGGTTAAGGGTTCGTCGACCCCATTGGTGTCGCCCAGATGTGGCAAAGATTTTGGGGACTGGGGTCAAATAGATAACTTGTTGTCAGTAGTATTTTGCATTAAGGCAAGTTGAATTAACTTCCTTAAAACGCGTAGATAATCAACTTAAAAGGAATTGAGATGCAGCCATTTATATAAAATATTCAACTGCTTATTTTCAAAATAACATTTTTGCTTTCACTAAAACATAATCAATGCAATTTCCAAATGCCTTTGAAACATATTTAAAATATTTGTAATTATATATAATTTACTTAAAACATTTCATTTCTTTCATTTAGAGTTCTAAAAATGTTTATTTTTTGTAAATGTGCAAGTGTATGTCAACTATAATCAGTAGCTACGTACAAAACGGTTATTTTTTACAATTTATTATCGTAGGTCTATAGTACTTCAGGATGTTATTTCAGACTATGAAAGCGAAAAAAATGTTTTTAACATGTAATTATTAAAAAATGGCTCGACCAATCATTGCCAAAAACAAATCAACGCATTTCCCAACCAATATATCTTCAGAACAGTTTATGAATTTTTAAAATCGGTTTAAGTTTATGGGCTGAAACATAGACAAAAATTTTCTGCTATTTAGAAAGAAATGACTTGGCTGATTGTCGAGTAAAAGTGGCAAACGCTACTTTTTATCGAGTTACATACAATGGCTTTCAAATTTTCAAAATCGGTGCAGCCGTTTTTGAGAATACGTCGACGAAATGCCAAAACCACATACCTAACACACACTTTTTCCAAACTTGTTCTCATTTGATTCAGAATGACATGAGTCGTCGAGAAAACAAAATTAGCAAATATGTTCTTTTTTGAGAAAATCCAACTTCTCTTTAGATAGATAAACAGTCAAAATTTTATAGTTGTATTTTTAGTTGAACGCATAAATTTAAAAATGGTTTTACATGAAAAGTTTGCTTCTGAATCCAATCTATATGATAGAAAAAATAGAGGTTCCTTCTGGGTTAAAACTGAACAAAATATTTTTTTTATTAAGAACATTGGAATGTTATACTAGTATTAACACGAACAAAACGAAAGCAATAATTCTCATATTACTGAATGAATCCGTCTTAGCAATCGTAAGAGGTTCGGTTTCTCCGAAGACTGGGCTTATAATCAGAAGTTCCAGGTTCAATACATCTCCTCGGATAGATAGATGCCAAGCAGTAGTGTCATCGGTTTTCACTTGAGTATAGATAGTATAGCAATGTTTCCAATTAAAAATAGCCCTTACTCTGCATCCAATATAAAGTCATCAAGGTTTAATCAGAAATGCCAAAAACTAAATTTACCAGCGTCCGTTTTTGTCCGGGAGATTTAGGAGTTACTCTAATTATAAATTCATCAAAGAGAGATTTGTCAACCATTTGGTGACCTAAGAGTCACGTTATTAACACTGAGTTTACGAGACTCATTGAGGGAATCCAAAACTTGAAATGAAATGCTCGAAAAACCGTACCACTGATCCTACCAAATTTGTGTCGCAAATTCATAATTTCTTAATAGATATATACGTTACAATTCTGATGAATTAAATTTTAAAATTTATGTGAAAAGATAGCTATCACTATGAAAACATGTGAATTTAATGAGACACAAATACAAACACACACAAATATAACTTCAAAAACTTTACCTTAAAATTTGTGGTTTAATCGTCAGATCCAAAAGTGACAATCGTCATCGTTCTAGAAATAAAAAATAGGTATAAATTTATATGTTAAAGAAAATGAAATGCAATATATATTTTTGAATTTTGAATTAAAGAAGTAATAGTCAATGAATTTATTTGTTCGATATCTCACCTTAGAAATAACAGCCAGAATCAATTCTTGATAAAAATGATAACACTAACACTTTGATTTACGCGCAATTAATTAAAAAAAAATTAAGTAACACTTTATTTTGATTAGAACAATATTTTTAACTATTCACTTACATTTATTTAAACGCTGCTGAAAAAAAAACATTACAACATATTTCATTTGATGATATGACCAAGCTTTTGTCGACTAGTAACTTCAAACAACTTTAAAAGTATTGGACAAAATCGGTCATACCACCAAGAACCATTTTTGCAATTTATAGCACTCACCTTACGCCAACAAGCACCGATTCTTCTGGAACATCTCGATTACCAATTTGTTGTCTAGAAAAATTAAAAGTTATATAATTTTACTGACTAGACATTAAACTTGACAAAAAACATTATGTTTACCTCTCGATTTCCAGAAGAGAGCGAATCAGGATCTCAACAGTTTATAAACGCAACGTTTTTCCAATAAAACACAGTCATATCAAATCACAATTATAAGTAAACTGCATATATTTATTTTATTAATAAACACAAAAAATATTACATTAACACTAAAAAAACACATTAATTGCGCAAATTACACAGACTCGCACTAACAAACACGAAATTGAAGTCGTCTACTGATTTCAACTAGAGACGGATCTGTAACAATAAAATTCAATATTAAAATCAATAGATATCTATGTTAAACTTTGTATGAATATTATAAGATATATTGAAGATCAATATCAAATATTCAAAACTATTTGTGTGCACTTTCAGTTCGATTATGAAAATGATTCATATGAAGAAATAATTATCAATTATGTATCTGAATGTAACTGTATTCTTGTACTTATAATCATTATTAATAGTGTAAATCAAAGATAATAAAACTTACTATTATTGCAAAACTGGTGAAGTTTTTATCGCGGAACTTAAAATTAATTTATAACGCCAACTTTTAACTACAGATGCATCTTCGAGATATATAATTGCAACATCTCTTTAATTATTACGAATGTAACAATTTAAATAATTTAAAAATACGTACACCATATTGATATAATTTCTTACACGGATTATTTATTTGTAAAGTTCGGGAAATAATATCTTCTATATATATAAAAATAAGTCGGGTTTTCCTTCCTTACGAAATAACTCCAGAACGCACGAACTGATATCGACAATTTAGTATTTGTTGGAAAGGTCTCGGGCTCCGCAAGGTTTATAGCTAAGAAAATTAGCTTGCATGGCATCGTGCCCTAATGCAAATTGCTGGAACTTCACGCACCGTAATTAAAAATTCGAGTATTAAAAATAATCAATAATTGTTTTAAATAATTGCAAATAGATTATCTTCTATATATATATATATATATATATATATATATATATATATATATATATATATATATATATATATATATATAGCCAGGTTTTCTTTCCTGATCAAATTTTTCCTTTTCAAATATAAAACAAACAAAAAATTTCTTCATCTTTCTCACGAAACCATCTGGTGGCGAAACGGAGTTCGTCGGGTTTGCTAGTTTTAAATAAAAATATGAAGAATGCAGAAATTTTAATAAAACAAAAATCTAGTAGGATAAACATAGACAAAATAGTATATATAGATAAAATGACATAGTGGTCTTATTTAAAAATTGACTAGATTCATTAACGTTTCCGCGACTATATAACATGACGAAAGCCATAATAACAACCCTGTCAGAAGTTAAGCGTCATTGTCATAGTCTTGTTGCAATAATCAATTCAAACGTGTATTGCACCTTAGAAATTTAATTTTAAGGGTGTTCGTTTTTTTGTGGATTTGCAATTATTTCAATTAAAATGAATAATCTTATGCCAGTACTAGTAATTTCGATCAATTTTATTCCAATGAGCAAGTGTTCAGTGAACATTTGATTAATTGTTCTAATTTGTTCAGTTTTGGATAAAATGACATTAGTATGGATAAAATGATACTATTTCCCAAGTATTACAGGGTCAAGTAAAAAGAAATTAAAACCTTATTCACATCTTAATAATCAAGAATAGACCAAAGGTACAACCGGCGAAGAAAAAACACTGTTGCAAAACCCTATTTTTGCATCTTGATTGACTTGAACCCTTTGGGTTCAATGCTTCTTATGCAAATGCCCCAAAGAGGACGAAACGATTTAATATTTGTGAACGGCTTTCCTAAAAATTTAGTCTGTCCTCACTATATGGACAAAATGTTTCTTGTAATCTGTTGAATTTTTTTCTTAATAAAGATATTATTGTTCCTAATTAAATGAAATACTATCTTACTGGTAGTCAATGAACCAAAAATGAGTAAAAACAATTGAGACTGGTTACAATATGAATAAGTTAGTAGTATCATGAAAATACAAAATACTATGTCATTTTATCCATACTCCCGCTATTATACATAAACCATTTGCTCTTTTGCATAAAATGATTTAAAGAACAATGAAATTATTAATAAATTTTAATATTTTCTGTCATATTCAATTATCAATTTAAATGAAAACGATCGTCAAAAAGTCAAGTAATAAGATATAAATAAAAATAAATTATTAGTTAGTTACTAAAATTCTTTTGTTAATTAACTTCCCGTAGGGTAAGGTATAGTAATAGGTCATAAATCGAAAATGAAATTTTTTTACATATCTTCACGTTTTGATGGTTTGTGAACATTTTGGCATTCTTTGAAAAATGGATGTGTATGTGTATGCACAATTTATGTGTGGGGATACAATTTTTCTTCCACGTTTTCTGGAGCACGGAACAACCGATTTAAAATAATCAAAAAGCATTCTATTCCTATTGAAAGGGAAACGTGCTGTTTAGTTTTTGGCAAAAGTCGGTCCTGTCGTTTCGCAGTTTGAAGCAAAGAGTGCAGAAAATAGAAATAAACTTTATGAGAGTACAGAGGATCCGATTTAAAATATTCAAAAAAACATCGAATTCGTAATGTTGAGAAGACGTGGTGTTTAGTTTTTGGCAAAGACAGGCCCATCCAGTTTAGGATGCTAAAAGTGTAAAAAATTCTAGTTTTCGAGAGAACAAAGCATCCGATTCGAATGATTCAATAAACGTTCTGCTTGTGAAAAAAACGATTAGTTTAGTAAAGAAAAATTTCCAAAAATAAAAAGAATTTTATTTTTTTTTATATCAAAATTGATTTGGATTTTAATTTTAACTCTAGCTAAAATTCTAAAATAGTTTTAAATACTTCAATTACTTAATTCTAACTGTGCAATTTATTTTATATAATTCTTACAAATATGTTAAGATCCTTTATTCTAACTCCGCTTTATTAAGTTTCGATTACTCAATTTTTATATAAACATATATAAACGTCGTCGTATTTATAAGCTCTTATATTTTGTCTATAACAAACAAATAATGAAAGTTTCAGTATTTATAATAATCTATTGAAAACCTTTTAATATTCTTCGATTATTTTAATTCTGGAAATTCCAGCTATTTGACTTGAGCCACAATACCATACACCACTAGTTATCTTCCCGTAGGGTAAGTTATAGTAATCGCAAAAAAATCGAAAATGAAAATTTTTGTATATCTTTACGTTTCAGAGGTTTCTGAATATTTTGGCATAACTTAGAAAAAATGGATGTATGTGTGTGCGTGTGAAACGGTTTGAATAATTCAAAAAACATTCGATTCGTATTGATAAGAAAACGTGCTGATTAGGTTTTGGCGAAGACAGGTCTATGGCGAAGATATAGGGCAAAAAGTATCAGAAACGGTAACTCAGTTTTTAAGAGAACGGAGCATCCGATTTGAATAATTCAAAAACATTTTACTTGTATTAACAAGATGAGGAACTGATCAAATTTTTATGAAGGCAGGTCTAGCGGTTTCGAATATCTAGTGAGAAAAGTAAAAAAAAAAAATGCCATTTGACGGTCAAAAATGATCATTAGACATATGCACATCAAATTATCAGATATTTTATAGACATTTTAACAATAAGTATAAATTTTGTTTACATTCCTATGGGTTCCGTACCAATGCTTATCCGTTAGACGGCGGCACGGCGCTTACGCGCTTCGATATTTCGTCTCCATGCAGTTAAAGCAGTACGATTGCTTTGAAAAAAAAAGTTCAGAATTTCCAAAATATTTTAAATTACACTTTTCTTCAAAAAATCTTTTTCAAAAAAAAGTAATTTTTTATCAAAAAATTTATAGTTTCTCAAAAATCTAATTTTTCAGAGTAATTTTTTTTTCAAAAATGTTAATCGTTTAAAAAACAAATAATTTTTGGTACGGGAAGTTCCAGCAATTTGCCTTAAGGCACGATGCCATGCGCCCCAGTAGTTATAAATTAAAATTCTCCGGGCCTGTCATTTTACACCCTTGCGTAGACTGTTATGTCTCCAGGCGCCTGTGGGGTAGGGCGGTAAGTCCGTGGACTCGAGCGACCGCCAGGCGACCGCGTTTCGGCTATCGCGTCGCGTCTGATCGAGCGCGCCGGAAAAGCAATCTAGAACTTTTATTGACATTCAACACATAGTTATGATAAGTCTTGCTTATATACAATGTAATGATTAAATCAAACTTTTTCGAACAACTGTTTCGTTAAGATTTTAATTTTACGGATTCACGTTAATACATGATGTACATTAATTACATCATTTTCATTGATTTCATTGCTAATACTCCAATCATGTACTATTTATTTATATGTCTGGCTTTGCCAAGTCCAATATGCGAGATGAGTTCTAATAATCGGGCGTTACATCGATAAAAGTTGTCTGCTTTATTATACGTTTGTTCAATTCGGCCAATGTCCCTGCCATCTATTAGCACTAGTGGGGCGCATGGCAACGTGCCTTAACGGGGTATTCTAGTGTAGAGCGATGAGTTTTAGGTCATTTTTAAAGTGTCGTAAAAGAAAAAAATGAATGTTTTTACTATCCATTTTTTACCACTTGTTTATTAATATTATTAAAAAACAAAATAAAAATTCAAAATTAAAAAAGTTGAAAATTGTAAAAACTGGCAGCTGATAAAGTGGGTGGTCTCAAAAAATTGGCACATCAGTCTTGACATGATTTCAGCCCTCCTAGCCATCGGAAATGCAAAA